TATATATACCACATCTTCTTTATCCATTCATCCATCGATGGACATTTGGGCTCTTTCCATACTTTGGCTATTGTTGATAGTGCTGCTATAAACATGGGGGTGCATGTGTCCCTTCGAAACAGCACACCTGTATCCATTAGATAAATACCTAGTAGTGCAATTGCTGGGTCATAGGGTAGTTCTATTTTTAGTTTTTTGAGGAACCTCCCTACTGTTTTCCAGAGTGGCTGCACCAGCCTGCATTCCCACATGGTGTCACTTTCTAACTCAGAAAGTGAATTACACTTTCTCCAAATAGGTCAGCTTGAGTTTCACAAAAATGAGTCTCACAGAATTTTAGAAGCTAGAAGAGAATTTAGAGGGCATTTTGTCCAAATGAACAAATAAACTGGAATAAAGGTATCCCCAGGGTATCTGAAGCAGTATCTAGGGGATACAAGATGCCATAGAACAAATCTGACTCAATTCCTAGAAAGATCACTTTTACTCAAATATTTTTGAATAGAAATTTAACTGCAAGACACAACATTTTCAAACACTAATATATGCTGGGGACACTTCAGATTCTTCTTCTCTCAGGTTAGAGAATCAAAGTTTGACTACATACAGAAACACCATCTACATGAAGAAGACATGATAATTATAAACCATGCTACCATTTATTGAGCACTTACAATATGCTAAACACCATGGTTAGAGATTACATATATTATCTCATTTGCTCCTCCTAACAGTATCAGGTAATAGTGATAATATAATTGTTTCCATTTTATAAAGAACGAAACTAAGGTTTAAAAAAGTGAAAAAACTTTCGCATGTTTCCCCAACTCATAAATAGCAGAGTTGGTCTTTGGCCACAGGGCTGTCTGACTCTAAAACCTGTGACCTTAATCACTGCCTTAGAAATCTGAAAGTAAAGCACAGGAACCCTAACAAGTCTTGAATTAGAAAAGGCTTAAACAAGTCATGTGCCTTTCTGTCCCTCAAGTTTTCCCAGCTATAAAATTAGAACAATACTTATTCCTTCCTTCATGATAATGAGGACCCAGAAGCTCATGGGATATATATGCTCATAGCATCCTATTATAGAGCTGAAAAGAACCTTGGTCACATAAAAACTTGTACATGAATGTTTATGGTAAACTTATTCATAACAGCCAAAAAGTGGAAACAACCCAAATGTCCACCAACTAATGAACAAACAAAATGTTATATCCATACAATGGAATATTCTTCAGCCATAAAAATAAAGTATTATTGATATATGCTACAATGCAGATGAACCTTGAAACATCACTAAGGGAAAGATGTCAGTCACAAAGAATCATACATGTATGATTTCATTTATATGAAATGTCCAGAATAGGCAAATCCACAGAAACAGAAAGTAGGTTAATGGTTACCAGGGGTCAGGGCATGGGATAGGGAGGGTTAGGAGGAATGGAAAGTGACTACTAATGGGTATAGGATTTCTTTTTGGGGTGGGGGGGGTGAAATATTCTATAATTAGATAGTGGTGACAAAGTTCCCTAGGTGGCTCAGTCGGTTAAGTGTCTGACTTTGGCTTAGGTCATGTTCTTGCAGTTCATGGGTTCAAGCCCCACACTGGGCTCTGTGCTGACAGCTCAGAGCCTGGAGCCTGCTTCTGTTTCTGTGTGTCTCCCTTTCTCTGCCCCACCCTGCTCATGCTCTTTCTCTCAAAAATAAACATTAAAAAAAGAGAGATACTGTTCAGAGTTCCACAACCTTGTGAATATACTAAAACTCAGTGAATTTTTATACCTTTAAAAAGTAAATGTTATGGTATATGAATCTCAATTAGAGCGGTTATTAAAAAAGAAAGAAAGAAAAGGACACCTGGGTGGCTTAATTGGTTAAGCGTCCAACTCTCGATTTCAACTCAGGTCATGATCTCATAGCTTGTGAGTTCAAGCCCTGGGTCAGACTCTGTACTGACAGTTACAAAGCCTGCTTGCAATTCTCTCTCTCTCCCTCTCTCTCAGCCCCTCCCCTGTTCGAACTCTGTCAAAATAAATAAACAAACTTAAAAAATAAATAAATAATTAAAAAAAATATATAACAACCTTGGAGTCTGTGGCAGCAAAAGAAATATACTTAAAAATATTTCAGAGGTGCCTGGCTGACTCAGTCAGAACATGCAGCTCCTGGTCTGGGGTTTGTGAGTTCGAGCCCCATGCTGAGTGTAGAAATCACTAAATAAATAAATAAATAAATAAATAAATAAATAAATAAACTTAAAAAAATACTTCAGACAAAAGTATCACAGAAGTACTGTACTAAGTTTTAAATATTATACATTTCACGCTTATAAAGACATGTTATAGACATCACAAGAAAAGCGAGGCCTTCTACTACCTCTGCTGGTTGTTATCTTGTCCCATGAGAATCTTAATTCACTTCAAAGCACTCAACTCCTTTGGTTCCTGAATACCCAGTTAATAAAATGATAATAAAATACAATCTAAAATGGCTGTTGATGGAAAACCCCAGGGGCTTGTCCTGCTTAAAAAGAGAAAGGGAAAAAAAGCCACACAACTCACCAAGGGCCTACATTCAAGGCCAGAGAGGATAACAAGAATCTAGATCTAGTGGAAATGTTATCCCCCTATATCCTTTTGGGAACAGCTTATCAGGATTTTCTACAGAGAAACTAGGCAAAGGAACCCCAACTATAAATATACTGCTTTATTAAAACAACCATTAATACTGAAATCCTTACCTTCATATACTGCAGCATAACACGGGCACATTACCTCATTTTCATTTCAAAAGTACTTGCATAAGGTATAGATTTTTATCCCCATTTTAAAGATTAGAAAATCGAGGCAAAAACAAGGTGAACCAGTCAATGAGAAGCAGGGTCAAGATTCAACATGCATCTAAATTCCAACCTCACTGCTCTTTTGCTACATGGTGTTTAATATTTGCTTTCTTCCTTCATCTCTCTTGGCCACCTATCTTTCACCAGATCAGAAAGCAGAATTGAGTCGTTTCTGCTCATGTTATCTTATTTTTTTTTTTTTTATTATTTTTTTTTTTTAATTTTTTTTTTCAACGTTTATTTATTTTTGGGACAGAGAGAGACATAGCATGAATGGGGGAGGGGCAGAGAGAGAGGGAGACACAGAATCTGAAACAGGCTCCAGGCTCTGAGCCATCAGCCCAGAGCCCGACGCGGGGCTCGAACTCACGGACCGCGAGATCGTGACCTGGCTGAAGTCGGACGCTTAACTGACTGCGCCACCCAGGTGCCCCTGCTCATGTTATCTTATAACATGAACTTACTCCCAAGAGATAATTTCCCCTTTAATTGTTTTGGTTTGCCGTATTCCTTTCATAGGTTTCCATAAGAAACACTTGCTCAGAATAAGTATTAATGTTTATTTATTTTATGTTTTGGCGGGGGGCAGGGAACAGAGAGAGAGAGGGAGAGAGAGAGAATACCAAGCAGGCTCGTCACTGTCAGCACAGAGCCTGATGCAGGGCTCGATTTCATGAAGTCACTCAAAATAAGTATTAAATAAATGTTGAATAAATAAATAAATCTGGCTAGGCCTGTCCAGTTAACTTAATCTTTCATGAATAATGAACACTCAAAATCTTAAAAATCTTACAAGGATAGAGATTCCCTTCTCAGTTGTTGCAAAAGGTTTTAGAACAGAGTCAGAAATGCTGTTACTAAACTGGCCTTGAAGTGACTTCTTGAAGAACTGTCCAACTCTTTCTTTCCAGTCAATCAAATAGTGATTTAATCTCCTAGGATGGGAAGGCAAGACCTTTAGTTCTGCCTATCATGTGGATTCTTACCTTTCACACGTGTCAATATTTCCTGCAACTAGCTACTTTCCAAGTTATTAGGTATCTCTTTTTCCCCTTCTTTCTACCTTCCTGTCTCCCTCTCCTTCCTCCCTACTTCCATTCTCTCCTCTGCCTCTCCTTCTTGTATCTTTCCCTAGTTGTGGCATTTACCTCACATTTCCTAGTGAGGCATGAAGGTTTTGACCCGTCTCAGAGTATCCATGGGAACCAACTATGACAAACCAAATGACTTCATACGGTGTTACCCATCGAATTAGTAGAAATGCCAAGAATTTTCCATGTACTGCTCTAGCTAAGCCTTTTCCAAAGATCAAAGCATGACCTACACAATGAGATCAGACTAGAAGTCCTTTCTTCTTCTGATAACTAAAGAGTTAATAGTTTTATTTTCAACACATAAGAAGGACTTAAGTACCATAGTAAATCCCACTCTTAGTTTTTAAAAGTAGGTGGATTTAGAGACCAGGGCATTAATAACATTCCTGCATTTGTTAAAAAGGTATGTTCTGTATATAAATTAGATTTGGACCTATTCAGCCCTCAAACTCCCTCTCTGCAATGATTTCAGTCTTGACCTTGGTTAATTAATACTTCCATAACACCATTCTATAAAGGCACGAGAATTTTTTACTTACTAGGATATAAAAGAACAAATTTTAAATACAGATACACATATACTTCTCTCATATTCAAATAATATGAAGAAATGTACATTCACATTTCATCATTGAAAATCATTTGCTCTAATTTTCCCCAAGCTTTTCAGTTTAAAGATGGCACCATTTAATATCTGAACCAAATTCATTAACATAATTTCATCCATGACAGACTTTTTCTAGGTAAAGGAATCACAGACTTTTAGAGCTACACCAAACATCAGAAATCATTAGGCACAACTCTTTTCATTTTAAAAACGAAAAATCTCCCAAGTTAAGTGATTGTCAAAGTCTCTTAGCTGATTAATGAGAGGTAAGGGTTTTGGTTCCTGACTCCTAGTTCACACAGCTGACGTTCCCATAGGTGAAAATTATTCAACTTGTTGATATCAACACCAATGGCAACAAAAACTTACTCTTACCATATGTATGAACAACGTCGTACAGCAGCTTTGGTTTCAACTTTCAGTATTTCATACCATAAATTCTTAACTTGTGGCTTACCCTGCTGAGTTGATCCAATAACCTCTGGTTCTGTTCTGATAATTCCTGGACAGCCCGTGTTTTTTCTCGATCTGCTTCCCGTAGGTGAACCTGCTGCCTCTCCAACTCATCCTGAAGTTGTTTCACATCACTCTCCAGCTCTGACACGCGCCCTTCCCATTCCCCTTCTCGGTTCTCAAATCGTCTTCTTAGTTCGTGTTTCTCTTGTTCTAAGTGCTGGGTGAGAAGTGAAGAGGATTTAAAAACTGTTAAAAATGTACAGCCTTTGCCTTTTTTCTCTTTTCACACTCTCCTAACTTTCCTTCTTCCCAGTCAGCACAACAAAACACTCTGCCACATGGGAAAAGTTGTCTATTTCACAGCTACAAAAACACTCCCTTCTTACAGAGTAGGAAGGAGTTAGCATGCTGTTCTTATTAAAAACACTTAATATTATTGTGTTTATTCTTGTCGTTGGGCATGAGACTATGGATAGGACTACAGACTCAGGAATTCACTTGAAATTCAGCCCTAGTCATCTAATTAACTAGTAAACTATACATTTAAACAGCTTAACACAAGTCCTTAAGAAGGCTTCTTTTGGAATCAGCTATCATGCCTGGCATAATACCAGACACTTAGAATCAAAGAATTTTCAGGGACAGAAAGAACTCTAGGGATCCTTCAGATTAACCATCTTTTCTTACAAATGAGGTAACCTACAATAAGAGGTCAAGTAACAAGCTCAAGGTCAAACTAGTAAATGGTAGAGCTGGGATTTGTGTTTAAGTCATGTGACTCTGTTTAGCACTCCAAATCACAATTCAATAAATACTTGTTGTGATATATAGAATAGAATTATATTTGGATATCAAGCAAGTTCAGCTTCAGGTCTACTTTAAATCATGGCTTATCAGCTTTGCACATTTATTTCTGATCCACTCATTTATTCTTGAGGAGTACCTGCGATGGGTCAGCCACTATGCTGCAGACATAGTGCAAAGTAAAACAGACATGGTCCTTGCCTTTATGGAGCTTTCATTCTAGTGGGAGAGACTGATAAAAGTAGTAAGTTGTGGGGTGCCTGGGTGGCTCAGTCGGTTAAGCATCTGACTCTTGATTTCCACTCAGTTCATCATCTCATGGTTCATGAGTTTGAGCCCCAATCAGGCTCCACAGTCACAGCACAAAGCCTGCCTGGGATTCTCTTTCCCTCTCTCTCTCATGTGCACTCTCTCTCTCTCTCTCTCTCTCTCTCCCAAAATAAATAAACTTAAAAAAAAATAAATTGTAACAAATGGTATGCCAAGTACAGATGGCTTGAAGCAGCAGCTCAATAAAAAAGGATGCTTTTGAAGGAAATAAGAATACCCTTTTGTTTTTTGGGTTTTTTTTTTTAAGTTTTATTTATTTAAGTAATCTCTATATCCCATGTAGGTCTTGAACTCACAACCCTGGACTGAGAGTCGCATGCCCTTCCACCTGAGCCAGCCAGGCACCCCTCTTTGTTTCTGTGAGATAAGACGCATGTGTCTTAACAGAGGCAAGTATGTTCTACTTAAAAATCATATTATGTATGAAATAGCAAAGTCTATACCCCAAGGAGTACATTAAATAGAAGTTAAAGCAATGGTCAATTTGGGGGGGAGGGGACGGCTCTCAGAAAAGCTCTGATATAATTGTTGAAAATATACCTACCTGGACCTCAATCCCAAAGATTGTGATTAGTTAAGAATGGGATGAAGCCTAGGCATGCATCTGTCTACTCATCTATCTATCTTGGCTCTACAGGAAATTCTGATGCACTGAAGGTTGATATCAAGCACTGAGAATGTTTCTACAAGCTACGATGAGCATATGAATCTTCTTCAGAGTACTTGGTCATCTCTTCTACACTCTTATTCTATCCAAGTTCTCACTTTGTGAATATTTTTTGGAGTAATTCTTTTGGAGAGTGTTAAGGGACAGTGTATAGTTGCACAAGAAAATGAAAATCAGTCACATTACTTCACATTTAAGATGTGTCTAAAAAAGAGATTACCCCATTTCACCCTGACATCTTATTCCCTTTTTTGCTGACTTGTTAACACTTCTGAAAGTCAAATTTATCCCTAAAAGATGTAAATTTACCATGACACAGCAGTCAAAATAACGTGCCAAAAGATAAAATCAGCAATCCAAAATGAAAATTCTGATCACATTAGCAAAGGCAGTTTTTACTGAAATAAATGTATGGTCCTCCAGGTCGATCACTCTGGGAAACAACTCACTCGGATATAGTCACTCTAGTATATTTGTTGAAGAAGTCACATTATAGTTAGACTTTATAGAACCTCGGCTTGGAGCATGCAAGGAAAGGAAGAATAAGGGAGGACTTCTACTCATCAGCCTGAGAACTTTCTGCTCTGTGCTTTCCTCATATTGCTAAACTCCAAAAATGAGAATGTTTTAGTCACTGTAGAGACTTCAAAAAGATGAAATGCAGAAACAAATGCTAATTGCCATCCTAAAATTGTGATACTTGGTTTTATTCAGTTTTTCCAAAATGAAAGATTGAGCAGAAGGCAACAGCAAGAACTCAGTAATCACAGTGTTACTGAGAGGCCAGATAAATTAGGCTTGTGTTCTAAAAGAACAGAGAGACTTAAAAATATTCAGCAAACAGCTGTTAGTGAACAGCCCAACTAAGCAACTAAAACAATCCAATCCACTTGGAGTTGGGGGAGGGGTTGCGACAGGTGGTACTGATTAGCTTATTCTGTCCTTATATTTTTCTGGTCATGTGACAAACTTCCTAATTCAGGTTTCCCAACACTGAAAAAAAGCAGTCAAGACTTTCCTATTAATGAACAGAAAGAATTTAGCCTTTTGTCTAATAAGAGAAAAGAAAGGTTTCCTAGAATTGTATTTTCATTAAGTGTTAAATTAACCAGTAAACTCTAGGCAGCATATTAGGAAGTATGGAGGTCAGGGATTATACGTTGTGTTATATGCCATTTTAGATATTATGTGTTATTCCTGTGTTAAAGTTAATATCTACACCTGAAACTAATAATGTCAATTATACCTCAATAAACAAAAGAAGAAAAGTTACCATCAAAACTGTTAAGGTCATCATAAACAAGTCTAAAAAAGTGCCACAGCATGGGCACCTGGGTGGCACAGTTAAGCATCCGACTCTTGATTTCAGCTCAGGTCATAATCTCATGGTTCATGAGATCAAGCCCGCATCGGGCTCTGGGCTTGATAGTATGGAGCCTGAGTGGGATTCTTCTCTCCCTCTCTCTCTGCCTCTCCCTTGAGCTCGAGCACACGCTCTCTCACTCTCTCTCAAAATAAATAAATAAACAAACATAAAAAAAAGTACCACAGCAAAGAGGCGACTAAGAAGATAGGAAAACTGAATGTAATGTATCCAGATTGCAGTCTTGGAACAGAAAAACACAGTACATAAAGGCTAAGGAAATCTGAATAAACTAAGGAGTGTAGTTAACAGTGTATCAGTAATGGATTTTTAATCATGGCAAGTATACCATGATAATGTAAGATGTTAATAACAGAGGAAATTGAGTGCAGAACATATGCAAATGTTCTGTACCATCTTTCCATTTTTTCTGTAAATCTGAAACCATTTTTAAAATTTTTTTCTGTTTATTTTTGAGGAAGAGACAGACAGACAGAATGTGATTGGGGGAGAGGCAGACACAGAATGCGAAGCAGGCTCCAGGCTCTGAGCCAGCAGCACAGAGGCTGACTCGGGGCTCGAACTCATGAACCGTGAGATCATCACCTGAGCTGAAGTCGGACGCTTGACCGACTGAGCCACCCAGGCGCCCCATCTGAAACCATTCTTAAAAAAAAAAAAAAAAAAAAGTATTTAAAACTCTGAAAAAATAAAAAGTTAACATCATTAACCAATCTAAAATTGGTTGTTACTGAAAATGGATTTCCGCCAAGAGCTAAAAAAGCAACACCACTGTCATAAGTCCAGGATATGATTCTTGAAAAATACAAAGAAAAAGTACTATTTTTTTAAGTGGACCAAACACTGTATGCAAATAAGGAGCTCTAGATTTGCCTACCCCAAATCTACTTGTGACTCTCATTAGGTGATCACTTTCATTTTATTTGTTTTGCCCTTAAAAAAAAAAATTGTACTAGAATCCTAAGAATTGACCTGCAGAAGGAAAAGGAAAATGTAGTTGAGGTAAAAGACTACCTCTGCATGCAGTAAGAGATAATCCACTCTCAGCTGGAATAGGAAAAAAGGGGATCTTGTATGTTAAAAACAGTATTTTTAGAAACTAAATAAATAAAATACTGAAGAAAAAAGTATATAAATCTGAGTTACTGTCTTAGTTCACGTTCCAGGAAAAAAACTAAGGACCTGGCTGGATATAAGATATAAAAGCAAAAGGGCTCACTGTAGGTGCAGAAAAAATAAATTTTAGAAAGTAACTTTACGGGCGCCTGGCTGGCTCAGTTAGTGGAGCATGTGACTCTTGGGCTCAGGGTTGTGAATCTGGGCCCCATGTTGGATGTACAGATTACTTTGAAAAATCTTGGGGCACCTGGGTGGCTCAGCCCGTTAAGTGTCTGACTCTTGGTTTCAGCTCAGGTCATGTCTCACAGTTTGTGAGTTCAAGCCCCGAATTGCGCTCTGTGCTGACGGTGCAGAGCCTGCTTGGGATTCTCTCTCTTCCTCTCCCCCACTCACGCTGTCTCTCTCTCAAAATAAATAAATAAATTTTTAAAAAAGATCTTTAAAAAATAAAATCTTAAAAAAATAACTTTAGAACTTTAAGTATATGAAAATATAATTCAGTGAATGAATAAAATACAATATAGTCAATTTAAGAGTGGAAAAAAATGACCACAATCTTCCAGTATTTTAAGTTAAATTGAATCTCCATTTTAACCCTAAGAGATATATAGCCAAAAAAATTCTATGTTAATCTTTAAGCCATTAAAGACTTTAAAGAGTGTGCCTTTAATAAGAGAGCAGTATGAGATCAAGTACTTTATATTTTAAATGACAAAACAAAATCTTAGGTTTGGCACACAGAACTGGAAAGGTATTCGATATTAACAAATAGGTAGAAAAAAATCTTAACAATGGCTTATTGGTCCTGAGGTTAGAAAGGTGCCAGTTTTGAATAAGGGAACAGAGGGGATTAAAACAAGATCAGTCTCACTATTTAACAGTGAAACCAACATTCTCTCAGAGTCCCCTCAAGTGTTAATCTTTCAAACCAACCTGTGAGAAAATGTGTTTGCTCCACTGACAGTTTGTGGAAAATTACAAATGCTTTTAAAAGGCTAGTTTTCTACCCTTAAGTATTTAATTTAATTGCAAATATAGCATGGCAGTGTTAAACTTTATAAAGCATTTTGTCCCTAAGCAGACATGCTAAAATCTAGGCTGCTTAAAGAATATAGAGGTGGGGCACCAGGATGGCTCAGTCATTGAGCATCTGACTTCTGATCTTGGCTCAGGTCATGATCTCATGGTTCGTGAGTTTGAGCCCCACGATGGGCTCTGTGCTGAGAGCTCAGAGCCTGCTTGAGATTCTCTCTCACCCTCTCTCTCTGCCTCTCCTCCATTTGTGCTCTTTCTCTCTCTCTCAAAATAAACTTAAAAAAATATTTTAAAAAATTTATGCTGAAAGGAAAATTCACTTGCAGGTATCAAATGAATCGCCCTCTATTAGGTTTGTCTCTCTCATATTAGTAAGAATTAAAAGAATTAACAAGGAACTAATGACAATATCTTTATGGGATCTTTTTAAATGTGCTTTTTTAAAAAAAACTAAAAATTGTTCATGATAATCTTCTTTGAAATATACCTTGAAAAAAATAGTATAACTGAACCCTCTAATACTCATGTTCAGTAACAATCAATATATTTGGCTTTTTATTTTTATTTTTTTTAACGTTTATTTATTTTTGAGACAGACAGAGACAGAGCATGAGCAGGAAAGGGGCAGAGAGAGAGAGAGAGGGAGACACAGAATCCGAAGCAGGCTCCAGGCTCTGAGCTGTCAGCACAGAGCCTGACGCGGGGCTCGAACTCACAGACCGCGAGATCACGACCTGAGCCACCCAGGAGCCCCTATATTTGGCTTTTTAAACAAAATTTTAAAATGTAAGTATATAGAACATAAAATTTACCACCTCAACCATTTTTAACTGTACAGCTTAGTGTTAAGTACATTCACACTGTTGTGCAACCAGCCCCCAGAAATTAAAATATACGCTAGAGTTCAATATGGTGATCTGTAGAGGAATGATGATTTTAAAAACTAATTTAAGAGCTTTAAAATATTTTATTACCATCTGTTTGGTCAATAGCAAAAAGTCAAAGGTAATTTATTCTTTCACAATAGAACCCTTCTTGTTATAGAATTTTTAAATCTTTTTCCTTTGTGAAGAAATGTATAAGGGCTCCACATGGAATCCAGGGTGTGTGTAACTGCACACTCAGGATTACTCAGAAATCCATCACTAATCAAACTGACTGATAACAATGTTTCTTCAATAAGTCCCTCACTGAAGGAATTTCAAATCACAAGAATAAATCTCTACAGTAGTACTTCTATATAGAGTCATGTAACTAAATCCCATTAAAAAAAAACACAAACACCTTTTATTTCTAGACCTCTACTTCCAGTGAAAACTAAACACTTCAATTCACTGGGTGCTTTTTGGCAGTCTACCTATAGGTTTCACAAACCACTTTTCAGAGAGGTATCTCAGGAGTTCATCGACTGGCAGACCCAGTTAACAGGCCAACTGAACTACAGGGCACTCAACTGGTTTCCTTTTTTCTCCCTGATTTACTTTTGATACATCCCTAGACTACAAACACACACTTAAATCTTATTATAGAAAAGTTTCTGGACTTATATTCTGACTGTTCAACCAGCAGCAGTGATATGGAAGCAGACTAGGGTCAATTTCAGACCTTATTCAGGACTGTACTATTCTCTTGTAACTAAGAATAAAAAGAACTGGTTGCAACCAAACTGGGTAACAACAGTAAATGCACAGGCAGAAAAAAAAATAAGCTAGTCTCCAATGCCACAGATGCCCCACCCCCTTTTTTAAAAAAAAGCTCTCTAATTTTTACAAAGGCTGGCATTCCATACCACTTTAAAGGCCCTTTCCCAGTAAAGGGCAAGAAAACAAACAGGCATAGCTCCAAAAGACTTTGATACAGAAAACTGGCAGAAATCTTACACACTTTAAGAAGTATTTATAATAGTTAAAGTAACATGGTTCTCATGGGTTGCATTTGGCCACCGAATCGCATGAATGAGGCCCAGAAGACTAAAAAAAAAAAAAAAAAAAAAAAAAAAAAAAAAAAAAAA